AAAAAATAAAAGTTGTTCATGAAAACCTTTTGGAGTTCAGCTCTACGCATATTCACATGGGGTCACAGGAGTCAGAGAAGCCTCATTGTCTGCTGTAAGGTGGAAAAAACAACTAGCTTTTATTAACCTGAAAGATATGTATTATTATCTCATAGAAAAACTTAAGTGTCTGAGAAGCTTGTGTCTCAGGACGTGTGATACTTTTTTTTAATTATTATTATTTTTGTGTGCGTGTACCGTCAAATTATATCTTACTGGTATAGGAGGAGATTGTCCCTCCTTCCTCGGCAAAGCATCTGGTGGATTCGAACTATGTGCCTCTGGGATTGTAGCTGCAGCTCCTTGCCACTAGGCCACCAGAGCTCCCCGACGTGTGATACTTTTTCATGCATGTTTTCAGGTGACTGAAATAATCCATGCTCATAAATCAGTGTTCCCATAGGCACTTTGACTCTCTGTAGGTTGTAGAACAAGAGAGCATTGTTTAAGATAGCTTGCATTTTGTAAGAGGAGCAAATGAAACGGTAAGGATGTGTAGAATGGCTATCTCACAATTCAGAGATCTTACTCATTTGTATTACTTGAGAATAAAGTTCATGGACAGCTATGATTGTGTTGGTATTGGGTTTTTTTTTAATTAATTTTAATGAAAGTTTACAGAGACCTAGGGTTTCCACTCATTTATTGTTGCACTTTTCTCCCAGCCCACCCCCTCACCCCCAGTTCACTCTTCTTAAAAAATAAAACTCTTTCATTGCTATGCAATCCCTCCCCCCAGTCCACTCCACTGTGCAGCCTTCATTCTGGACTCCTATAATGACAATAATACCAAATTATATGTCTCTTTTAAATAGTTCTCTCCCTCATCTGTTTCAATGCAGTATACATCATTTCTCCCCTCCTTTTCTTCCTGTTTTACTACAGTGGCTCTATGCAATATTTGTCCTTTTGTGGCTGAGATATTTCTTTCAGCATAATGTCCTTCAGGGTCATCCATTTTCCATAATATTTCATGAGTTCCTTGTTTTGTAATGCTGCATAGTATTCCATTGTGTGAATACACTAGAGCTTCTCTATCCATTTGTTTGTTGATGGGCACTTGGGTTGTTTCCAGCTCTTTGCTATTGCAAACAAAGTCGCAATAAACGTGTGTGTGCATATATCTGCTTGGGTGGTGATTATGGTTTCTTTAGCGTAAATTCCCAGTAATGGAATTGTTGGGTCACATGGTATTTCTATTTGCAACTTTTTGAGAAAAAGTCATACATTTTACACTTCCACTAACAGTGGATAAGGGTTCCAGTTTCTCTGCAACCTTGCCATCATTTGTTGTTTGCTGTTCTGTTAAATTTTGCTATTCTTACTGATGTGAGATGATATAGTTGTTTTGTGTGTTGTTATTGTTATATTACATCTAGTCAGAACCAACTTTAACTCTCCGGTGTGTTTTCAGAGGATGTAAATAGCAGGAGAGGAGATTGCCCGTCTTTCTCCTGTGGAGCAACTGGTGGATTTGAACCACATGCCTCTGAGTTGGCAGTGCAACTTCCTGCCCACAAAGATAGCAGAGCTCCCTAAAAATAGGTAGAAATACTAATTCTTTTGGAATTGGAATGAGTTAATAATATTTTACAAAAGCAATGTTTTTTTTTTTTTTACATTTCACTGCTTTTAGTCCTGTTCTGGTGAGTTCAGGCGTTGAGGGAAAGATTTTTCCTATTTGCCATTTTCAAAAACTGTGTCTGTGTTCTTAAAACGAAAATGGAGAGCAGCTCAGCGAATTTCTAGGTTTCACATCACTCCTGGTCATGTGTACCCCTCCAAGAACTACCACAGGGCAATACCACAGAGAACCCAGGCCTCTCAACTTTATCCCTCTCCTGAAGGGAATACAAGAAAAGCTGACATTCCCTGATGTTTCTCTATGGAACTGAAAACTTTCTCCTTTTTTCAACTGGTATTAAAATCAGCAAATGATTTGATTCTTTCTAGACTATTCTAGTAATACAAGATCACAGGCAAACTCAAAACGGCAGCCTGGGTTAGTTTCTGGAAATAGTTTAATATGCTGAGTGGATCCTTGATCACTCACAGCTGTTGCTGGGGGCAGGCAACATTGGGAGTAGAAAGTTGTGGGTCTTGGGTGCTTTATGGTGAGCTCCTGGTTTTGCAAAATGATTTTTGAGGTCTTCAGGCAAGAACTTAACTCTCTTCAGGTTTCTGAAGTGCTACCTTGGGTCCCCACCCCCACCCAATCCTAGACACAGCCTGCTATAGGATTCAGCTTATTTATTACCCCAGTCAATCCTGTGTCAGCCCATCAATAAAAGAGACGATCTCACTCTCTGATGGCCTCTGGGGAAGAATATGTGGTAGTGAGTTATTCAGCCTTCTTTTTGAAATGAGAGGGGGCGGGAGCCTTTCATCATTTTGGTGTGTCAGTATCTGGGGATTGTCGAGGCTGGTCCCAGCTGAAGAACTTTAATATAGTCTTAAAACTGTGGTGTATGTAAAGAGAGGGAAGTTAGTCACTTTCTCATTCGTTTCTGTCATTTCTCTTCATTTGGGGCACGCCAGGGGCATGACTATTTTATTAGCTTTTTACTGTTGCTAGTGTTTATAAATGTAAGCACTATCTTAAAAGCATTTGGAAGCTCAAGAAGCATTTTGCATTTCTAAAATATACCCCATTGCCACCACTGTAAATTAATAGCATATAATAGATAACAAACTCGTAGTTCTCTATGGCTTCGTTATTGTTACTGTATTTAATGCTATATTTACCAACTTGGCTAATAAGTGCTTTGGCCTGGTTCTGACTGACTAGAGACTATTTATCTGACAAATGGTGGTTAATTCTTTCCTCTGAGTACCAGGAGGTAGTGATTAGTTGCTGCCCAAATCCCATTGAATATACAAGTGTGTCACAGAAGGAAATTATATCCCTTGATGGCAAAGGGGTTAATTAAAACATGCAGGAAAATGGAGTTGTTTCATTTTATTTTTATTCGATTCTCTTTACTTTAGGCCAAAATGAATCTGGAGTTGCTGTCCATAATGAGAGAATATATTTAGTCGGAGGGTATTCGATTTGGACAAATGAACCTCTGGCTTGTATCCAGGTAAGTGGTGGAAGTTCCTTTTGAAGTTTGTTCGAGTGGATCAGGGAGGTTACTTTTTGCCATGCTGCTACTTACTGAAGGAAAAGGTATTTACTGTAGAAAGAAGCTCCAGCTCCCTTGCTTTGTGTAGTTTCACACTGTGAAGCCACCTTACCCTGTGTCCAAAAAATGATGCCCAATCTAAAGAATTGATCCCTATTGAAAATAATGAGGGAATAAGCCTTGAAAGTATGTAATACATACTGGAATGGAGGTACTTTTCTCCTAAACAAACAAGCAAATGAACAAAATCCAGAAATATTTGGTAAAATTCCCTTCATACACCCCACAAATTTTTAAGTTCCTCCTTTCCATGTCATTGTTCAGTATCTATACTACAATTTGTTCATTTCCATAAAGACCACCGACGATATTGTCCTTGCTTCTGGTCCGGGATGAGCAGTGTGGTTTATAGCTGGTCTGGCAGGCACAGCCTCTGTTGCATGGACCAGTCCTGGTGCAGCATGAGAGCTGCCCAGACCGGGCCAAGTGCCAGCTGGGACTTTCAGAACAGCAGTTGTTTTCATTGATACACATATTCAGAGTATTATTTTATTTTTTATAGTTCCTGGAAACCAGTTTCCACCTCATTTCTCTTACTTTTTCATGGTTTTTTTTATAACAAGATTGAAATGTATTTGTCCTGACCTTTAGAAAAAGAAATATACTATCATTTATCTTTTTGTGAGACTTTCAATAACTACTTCATAATCTCTCCCCCCCCACCCCGTTGTGGTAAATATATATGTAAAAAACCATTTCCCATTACTGTATTCTTCGCATGCACAATTCAATGTTGTCATGTTCCTTAAAGGAGCTCTGGTGGTCTGTTATTGCTGTTATGTGTCATCGAGTTGGGTACAACTTAAAGCAACCCTATAAACAGCCAGTCTAAATACTATTCTATCCCATACCATCCTCACAGTCTCTGACACACTAGAGCCCACTGCTGTTGTCACTGTGCCAACCCACCTGGTCGAGAGTCTTCCTCTCTTTTGCTAATGGTAAGAAATTGTGCCGTCAGCTCAAAGGCACACAGTTCAAGTGCACCAGCTATTCATAGACAGATATGTCTTGGAAAAAGTGCAGCCAGGGTGCTCCTTTGGAACAAAGATGATGAATCTTCATCTCTCATACTTTGGACATATTGTTAGGCAAGGCTCTGTCTTGGAAAGAGACATCATAACTGGAAAAGCTGAGAATCAGCAAAGAAGACCCTCAACAAGACGAATTGATACAGGGAAGGCACCAGTGGGCTCAAGTATGTCAGAGATGATGAGGATGGCGCAGGAGGGAAGCGGGATCAAATCTACTTTTCATAGGTTCGCTATGAATCATGTTCGACTCGATGGCACCTTACACAACAACAACATGCTTCTTAGGTTATTCAGCCATCTCTAATTCAAGTTTCCAGGGTTGGTTTTTTTTTCCCCTTTACAAAAGGACATTATCCCCTTCTCTCCCACCCACTCCTGGAAACAATATCAAACTTTGATCTCAATACACTTCCTTGTTCTAGGCACTTATTTCATATAATTGGGATGATATTGGTATTTTGAGCATTTTCCACTCAGCATTTTAATCCATCTTGTGGTACGTGTTGGCACTTAATTTCTCTTTATAGTAAAGCAATATTCCATTGTATGAATATCACATTTTGTATATCCATTCATTTGCTGATGGACACAGATTGTTTTCACCCCTTGACTGTGTGTATAGTGCTGTACATATTCAGTATCTTTAATAGCTGGGGAACTACTGAAGTATTCTGTTTCTTTTTCAGTCACATTTCCTTTGGTGTTTTCCCCCTAGAAACTTTCCATATTGTCTGTTTTCTGAATTCTCAGCATGTTTCTGTTTTGCTATCCTTGATCGCTCCCTTTATGTTATAATACAGAGAACAAATGAATGATCTTGAAGAAAGTGCAGCCTTGGCGGTCCTTAGTGGCAAGGATGGTGAAATTTCACCTCACAGACTTTGGGCATGTTGTCAAGAGAGGCCAGTCCTTGAAAAAAACAAGGCATTATGCTGGGAAAGGTGGAGGGTCATAAAAAGAGGAAGACCGTCAATGAGATGGACTGACAGTAACAGTGACAGTAACAACAGGCTTCAGCGTGGTGGAGATTGTGATGGGAGTGGCAGACAGGGCAAGGCTTTGATCTGTTGTTCATAGGGTCATTATGAGTAATAATCCCCTCTAGGGCACCTGAAACAATTACATCCAATTATATCCTTATACTCATAACACTGTCTTTTCTCTGAATTAGTCTGGCCAGAAGCTTGTCAGGGAGGTTTTAACATCTGTTGATACAGAGAGCTCTGATAGCCTAGTGGTAAGAAACTGTGCTGCAATTCTGAAGGCACATAGTTAAAAAATCCACCAGCTGCTCTGCATGAGAAAGATGGGCAGTCTTCTGCCATGTGATTGACTGCCTCTGAAAACATGGATCAACTGTGGGTCAGTTCTGATTCGATGGTACACAACAAAAGCAACTATGATACAGCCTCTGTGTTAGTCCATCTTGTTGGGATCTTCCCCTCTTTCACTGACCCTCTGTCTTCCCAATCATAATGTCCCTTTCCAAAGATTAGCCTCTCCTAACAACATGTCCAAAATATGAGAGACCAAGCTTCGCCATCTTGGCCGCCAAGGAGTACTCTGGTTACACTTTTTCTATTCAGTACTCTTCCCTAGTGGCTACAGCCGTGGGCTCAAGTTGTCATGAATGGTCAGGATGGTGCAAGTTAGGACACAGTTCAAATCTGTTGTTTATAAGGTCACTCTGAGTCTTACTCAATGAAGGCACCTAACAACAATAACAATAAAACTATTGATACAAGTTGTTTTTGTTGTTAGGTGCCATAGAATCATAGACGACTCATAGTGACCCTATGAACGAAAGGCCTGAGCACCGTTCATAGAGTTTCCAGAGGCAAGCCATTTCAGAAGTGGATGTCACTCCTGCTTCCAGGCTTGTTTTAATCGGGAAGCTCCACCAAACACTGTCCACCATGGGCAACCATTATCACATTTGACACATCAGTGTCACAGTGTTCAGCATCACAGCAACCACGAGTTAGTTACCTCTGTACAGTAATGCACAGACCAGTGCTATACCCCATGCCAAGCCTCAAGGGCCTTGCTCCTGGGGGGAAAAACAGTTAAGTACTGCACGTCAAACACAAGCTTGAGAAAGCACACAACCCCAAAACCTTGTCATTACTTGCGCACGCGGACTACCATGCTCAGGCAGCAAGAAGTCACAGAAACCCTGGGTGGAGTCATCCAGAAACGACATGGCCACCTTGTCCACCCCTCTCCCTTTGGGGCTTTAAGCCACCGCCTGCCTTAAACCCTATTCCAAGCCTCAAAGGCCTCACTCCTCATACAGACCAAATTTTAAAAAATTAGCAAGGGTAAAGAATATCTGTTGGAAGCAGAAGTGGCATCTACTTCCATAATAGCTTGCCTCTGGAAACCCTATGAACCTGGAGAAAGGATGAAAGTCACACAAATGTTTAGGACTTTCATTCCGTAGGGTTGCCTACAACTCGACGGCACCTAACAACAACAACAAAGAATATCTGAACAAGTAAATCCTGCTGAATATGATTCTAGATCTAGCCACTGGAGTGGACATTAGAACATGTGGAATGTTTACACAAATAAATCAATACTAAAAGAAAAATTAAAAAAAATAAGTACTAGGATTAGGAAATTTTTAACAATTTAAAAAAAATATCTGGTAGTGGCTATGATATTTACCAGTATTGGTTGTCACCAAGTCTTTTCTGACTATTGAGGACCCATGTGTGTGAAAACAGAACTGATTTCCACAGGATTTTCAATGGCTAATTTTTCAGTCAGCTGTTAGGTCTTTCACTGAGGTGCCTCTGGGTGTCCTGGAACTTCCACCTTTTGTGTAGCTGTTAAGTATGTTAACCATTCACACCACGTAGGCACTCCGTGATCTCTAACTACAATGCAACTAAGTAAACACTTTATAAACCCTTATGTAACTGGACAGAGCAAACACCAATGCCATCTAATCAGTTCTGACTACTGGCGACCCTATAGGAGGAACAGAACTGCCCCAGATGGTTTCCAAGGCTCTCAGCCTTTCCAGAAGCAGCCTTCTTCGTCTTTCTCCTAGAGTGGCTGACAGTTCAAACCTGTTCCAGTAACAGCCCAACATTTAACTCACTACACCACCAGGGCTCCTTAAAATATCAAAATAAACTACTAAACAATTTATGGATTCAAGAAATCACAATGGAAGTTTAAAAAGACCCAGATATTAGCAATAATGAAAACAATGCATAACAAAACTTGTGAGATATATCTTAAGATATTAAAAAAAATAACAAACAAAAAATAAATTCAAAGAAAGTTGGAGAATAAAATGAATGAAAATTAAAGAAATATGAAACAATAATATTAACATTGTGGAAAAATTTATTAGGGGAAAAAAACCACATGATTAAGTTTTAAAGGAAATTTTTAACTAGATAATTGAAAGTTACTTTGATCTAGAGTTTTGTCATATCTTTAGATAGCAATGAGTGAGCAAAGGGTTTTTTCCTCAGGGAATGCTTCTGGTGATCCCTCAACTATACATATTTGGCAGTTTTCACATTCTCTTAGGCTTTTAAATTTTCTTTTTACTTTTAAAATTTGTTGAACAGTGAATTAGAGGACAGCTAGTGCTTTGCAATGCAGGAACACTAGTTTTTAGGTATCTTTGGGAAACACAAAGATCACTTGCAGAATGGGAATTAGTTTATCATGAAGTACATGCAAATTGAAAATGTTTATGAATATCTTTCTACTAATTTTAATGTCAAATTAGCTCAAAAAATATAAGTAGAAGCCATAACATAATGAGACTATAAAACTCTAACTTATACTTACAAAATTTATATCATAGTGCTGCCAGTTAAAAATGTATCTCCTGTTATG